CTGGGTGCCTCTACTGAAGCTGCTACCCCCGCGACCCGAACCCCGGACAAGCAGCAGATGATGGATGGATGGATGGTGTCTCCTATTGTCCCTACAATCATTACATTCCGCCCATTGTCATCCCTAATTTCCTTTTCAACTTTGTATGGTATCCCTTTACTAATCAAAATGGCCACTCCTCTTCTTTTACCATATGAGGCATGTATTACCTGGTTCACCCATTCCCTTTTAAGTTTTCTATGTTCTGTCTTTGTCAGATGTGTCTCTTGTAATAATGCTATTGAGCACTGTATTTTTTTCAGTTGGGTCAGTATCTTCTTTCGCTTAATGGGATGATTCAAACCATGCACATTATATGACACTAAGTTTAACTTTTTCGTCTTGTTTTTAGATGGAATCCATTAAGCCTACACCTCGTACAAAAGTTGTAAAACTGTAACATAACATCTCCATTACACTCAGAACTATTATACAGCAACTAAAACAAAAACATGTGTCTTCCAAACATTCCACCATCAGAGAGTTGTGGCCTTTTTTCTCTGAAGCAAAAGCACTAAGTGCTGCAACAACTTCTAAATAGTTGTCTAAGGTTGTCTAACCCCTTACTTTTAAATATTCACTCTCAAAAAAAAAAACAATATTTCACTTTGCTAATCAAGTAGTGTGAAACTAACCTCTCTTCTATTCAACTGTATTAAAACAGGCAGACATATATACACATAAGTTCATATTCCTCTGTAACCCTGTCGTCTTTGGTATTTTTATTATACCTATACCGTTGATGAGTTTATTCAATGTGGGCACTCAGGTCTACTTCTGTGGCACCAGGCTGTCTCTGCCTCCCTCTGTGTCCTGTCACCGTGTTCCAACCACTCTGTCTCATTGCTTGGCGCAGCTTCTCCCCCTCGTCCTCCTTAACATTAATATTAATTCCCATGTCCTTTAACTTAGTCGCTGCTTCCGTTAGTGTAGCAAATGTCTTTGTCCCGGAGTCCAGGAACACCTTAAGTTGGGCTGGGTAAGGTGACTGTGCTTTCACGTTTTTCTCCTTTTATTTTTTTGATGACGTCCCTCACTTCTTTTCTCTTCTTTTGAACCTCCGTTGTGTAGTCTTGATTAAAGTAGACAGTCTTTCCCTCGTATGTGATCTTTTGTTTCCATCCCTCCCATATAACGTGTTCTTTCACTTTGTAGTCCAAAAAACGCACAATGATAGCTCTCGGGCGTGCCGCGCTGTCCCTGGGCTTAGCTCCCAGGGAGCGATGTGCTCTCTCGATACGTATGTCCAAGTCGTCTGTGATTTGGATCTTTGATTTAATGAGCTCCATTATGAAGCCTATGGCGTCGCTCTTTTCCGCTCCTTCTGGGATGCCATGTATTCGTATGTTGTTGCGTCTCATTCTCGATTCCAAATCTTCGCACTTCACAGATAACTTGGCAGTCATTCTGTCCTCCGTATTTCCCAGTCTATCCTCCATGTGCACTGATCTTTGTTCCAGGGTGGTTGTTCTGACCATAAGTTCTTTGATGTTAGTTTCTAAGCTTGCCAATGTTCTCTTGTTTTCTCCTGCCTCTTCGGTATGCTCCTGTCGTAGTTTGCGCAACTCATTTAGTATGATCGAGTCTTGCTCCTCGCTATCAGGGACCGCACGTTGCGGCCCCGCTAACTCGGTTGTTTTTTGTTTTGCACCATCCTCTTCTCCTTTTTTTCCTATCTTAACCATGTTTTCCATATATTATGTTTGTCGGCTTATTTCCAAGATGCCGTTTTTAGTTTTAGTTGTTTTTTTTTTCCAAGAACGATTCTTCTTGCTGCCTTCTACCCCATGGCGCCACCGGAAGATGGAAGTCCACATTTACTGCATTTCTGTAGCTGCTTCAGAAAGCATGGTGCCCAACTGACACCATCTAATAATAATAATAATAATAATAATTGGCACTTTTATTAATCCCCATGGGGAAATTCTTTTTACGCCTCCCTCAACTTGCTCTTTGTAGAGCAAGCTGTCTGCGAAGGGCAGCCACCTGTAGCAGCACCCAGGGAGCTGGGGGTTGAGGGTCTTGCTCAAGGACTTACGGCTTAGCCCACTGAGCCACACGCTGCCCGTACACATATGTCCCCACCAGGCAGCAAAAATGCCTATGCATGTGTGGACGTGCGTGTGGATGTCATGTATATATACATTGTGGGAACCAAATGTCCCCACAATGTGATAAAATCCTGTTAGTTTGACATTGTTGGGACCACTTTTTCAGTCCCCACAAGGGGAAACTCAATTTTCTGTGACTGCAATCAAAAAACTAAAAATGCCAAAAATCTTGGATTTTGTTTGGTTACTTATTGGTTAAGGTCAGGGTTGGGTAGGAGATAAGATCGTCATATTTGGGATTAGGGCTTTTCCCATAGAAATGAATGGATGGTCCTCACAAAGATATAAATACAAATATGTGCATACATATCTATGTGGCTGCACTTGCACTCCACTTTGTTGCACCAACTCGGGGTTAAAGGGAAGCAGCATTGTACCTCAAGAACAATGAAGACTCTTATCAGAACAGTATTTCTTACAATTTAGGTCCAAATAGGTGTATAAAACCTTTGTAGTCCAAAATATGATTTTGCCCTGTAATCTGCTTTTAAGTCTTTAGCTAAAGGATTTTTCTAATGAGGTTTTTAAACATGGAGCACTCCCATAGAATGACATAAATATAAGACATTGTAATTTCAGGACAGTCAAATTATATATAGATAGTTTCCTGATATTTTCATATACACCAAATAAGTCTTTCTCAACATTTGAACTACGGGTCATGTGGGTTATAACTGAAAAACACAATATGCTACGCAATTAACCAAGTAGATAGCAATGGTAACAATACAGAGAGTCAGGGATGCACATGACTGTATTGCACATGTACATGCACATGTATTCAGCATATAAAGTGATAGCTGCTGCGATTTCTTGCCATACCTGCAGAAATTCATATTTAATGTTTATGTTATGACATGAAATTCCGCCAAGTTCATCGCTGTCTCCAGTTATACAGAGTTAACAGCCACCTATCAGCCAATCATAAAATAGCATTTGTTGTTTCTGGGTAAATTCTAAAGTTACATGTCATCCTACTGCAAACAAATTATTACATGGTTGTGCACACAAATGGAGTGTAGACAAGGTAAGGGTGGAAGAACAAAATAGGATGAGTGCGGTAGGGAGAGCTTTCAAATCTCACAAGTTTGACAAGGAGACACATGTTCCATCCCTAACAGATGTGATCTCACTTCAAAATTTAAATTAAACTTGAGAGCCCTGACAATTACATACTGGAAATGTTAACAAATCAGATAACATTAACGTAAGGTCAGGGAACCAAGGATTTCACATGTTTCTTGGTGTTTTAGTAATGCTACAATTATGCTAGGCAAACACACAATGTACGTCACATCAGCAAAGCATCTAAAAAATCCTAACCTCTTAAGCTCTGTGTTCAATATTGCTTCCTACCTGATATGAGACAATTGTTAATCCAATTGTTGAAAAACATTTTATTAATTTTGTATGCAACGCATAAAGATCAACCTGGATGTAATATAAGCACATAAATTACCAATAATCATAAATGAAATAAAGAATATGAACAAATCAATCATTCAAAAATCAATTATTTTAAAGTAATATGGTTTTAAACGTGTGTTTGATATTAAAAATATCCAGCTGTCAGAAGAGTGGCCTGGATCCTTGAAAACTTCCTGTCTTTTAGCATATTTCATACCGCCTGCCTACACGCTAGATGTGCTAAAAGGCAGTTATACCCCTCTGCAGAGGCTACATGCCACGGCCGTGATGAGGGCAGCCCCCTTCCCACTGCCGTCCTCTGAGAGGATGAAGGTGACGTCACACAGGGGCGCCAAGGCCTTCACGGTCTCCTTCAGGATGGTGGAGAAGCTGTGCAGAAAGAGAGCAAGTGACAGGGACAAAGGAGACAGAGAGAGAGAGAGAGAGAGAGAGAGAGAGAGAGAGAGAGAATAGGAACAGATAGAGGGAGACACAAAGGGAGAGTGAGTCCACACATAAGTACATGGGAACAGAGAGAGAGAGAGACAGAAAAGACAGAGATAAGGAGATAGGATCAGAGAGAGACATAGAGATAGGAGGACAGGACCAGAGAGAGACACAGATAGGAGGACAGGAAATGACAGAGATACACACAGGGATAGGGATACAAAGAGAGAGACAGCATATGCTAGGTGTTTCCACAATTTTGTTCACTAGTGTAGGTCTCTCTAAGCACCAGCCTATGGCACCTTTTTAATTCATTAGTAAATGTGGCCCACAGATCAATCTCTCATTTCCTATAGTGAGCAGAGAATAAATGTGCAGTAACATTATTCCTCTAATCAGCATTGGGACCTTGCTGTCACAGTGGGCCCACTTCAGCCAAACACTCCCTGGGCAGTGGCCCCCAGGTTATTGGAGTTTGAGACCCCTGCTGTTTGGTCTTCAGTCCAGCTGAAATCACACTAGCATCATTCTCTCTGTTTAAATAATGAAATTTTATTCTGAGATTTGCCCAAATGAACATGTTTTACTGTGTGCACAGCCCTTTGTGTAATCATATCACTGCTTGCTGCCATTTAAGCACAGGTCCAAAGATCTAGGCTGTACTACTCACTGTGGGTGGAGCTTGTAGAGTGTGCCGTCAACCCCCACGGTGATATCCAGGTGGTCCAGCCCACGGTTCTCCCGGATCTTGTCAACAATGGCAGCCAGGCCAGCCCCACAGAGCTGTGCTGCCCGACGGGAAACGACCCCGCACACTTCCTTGACGATGATACTGTCGTCACATGTGCTGTCTAGACCTAGCTGCTGCAGGATAGCCCTAACCTGGAGTAGTGCCAGCCGGTCACTAGAGGGCGATAGTGTTACAGAAACACATTGTATTACTACAGACATGTTCCTCTAATTCATCAGGAGAGACTGTGAGGTTCTCCCCAGCAACCTGAGCTCTTCTGTATTTCACTGATATGGTCATCACGAGGTTTACAGCAAACACAAAACAAACAACATGGAATGGAAATGTCATGACCAAATGTGCTGAAGTCATAAACCGCAAAAATAAAGTGGCTGCCCACCTCACCTCTCGATCTGGGACAAGAACCTGGTCTCGAAGATGCCGGGGGTTTTGAGCCGCTCTGTGATTCGTCCTCGAAACAGAAGACCTCGGCTGGTTAAGTCGATGAGGATCTGCCTGACAATCTCTCCCAAGTACATGCCACTTGTCATCTTCTCAAACCTACAGCGCCACAGCTTAGTCAATTGCACATATTAAATATTTCAATATAAAATTATTCCTACATTGTTTTGTGCATTTCACATGTGACAGTTGTATAAGTCCATTTCTAGTGATTTGACACCCTCTAGTGAATAAGTCATACAAATGCCACTGTATCTTGGGATGCTTTTCCACTGCACCAGACACCGTACTTTTGGTACTTCAAGTGAGGAACAAAAGTACGGTACTTTAAGGTGTTGGTTTTCCACTGGTGTAAAAACTGGTACCAGCGCTGAATGACATCACAACACAAGGTAAGGTATTTTGTACTGGATTCCAAAAATGGCTATGATATATTATATAGCTTGAAGAGCACATGCAATTCTACATCGCTAGTCAGCTATATTAAAGATAGCTTTTTTTATACCTTTAGTTCTGTATCGACATTAGTTTAACTAAAACATTTTTATTCTGTCATAGGGAAAAAAAACTTGTTAATGATTATTTCTTTCAAGCTTTTACAAATCAAGTTTTTTTATAAATCAGTTTAAAGTTTACTTCTGCTGCTTTTGCATGAGCACTGCATGCGTTATTCCAAGACCATCGTAATCATTTTCATCATTGCTGTTTACATGATTTTTATTACAACATTGCAGCAGTTGATTTTGTTTTATCTGTTCTTCAAACAAGATTGCAAAGCTTGCATCCATTATTTTTATTTATTTATTGTTTTTTTTTTAACTTGGTTTATCATTGTTTTCTGAGTTTGCAATATTTTTCAAGACAGCAGTTGTACTGTATTTCAGAGGCAGGCTATTTGCACAACCGACTGACAAAGAAAGGGTTAGCAAGTCCCACCCCAAAGTACCAAAAAATGACCCCAGCTGCATTGGCACTTTAGGTACTGGAAATTTTGGTACTGATACTCGATTGGAAGTCAATGGTACCAAAAGTATGGTACCTGGTGCTGTGGAAAGTGCCCTTGGTGTTTGGTGGCTGCTTGGGTCCATCAGCAAAATTTTAAAATGTTCAAGCCACTCTTGCCTTTGTTTCCCCATGTTGAGTGAACCCTCATCCACTTCCTGGTCAAACTTAGTGCAGATGTCCTCCAGTGCACCATCATCTCCGAAGCCACCCCACTCCGTGTTCACACACATCCTGCCCTCATTGCCTTCCATGCACTTGATGTTCCTCATCTCCTCCATGTAGCAGACATTGCTGCCTGTACCTGCAAGCACAAGCTAAGGATGGTTGCCCTGCCCCCAGAGCCATCTACCTGAGGAATCTATGGATTGGCCAAGAAAGATATCCCCCTTAATATGTGCATAAATTCTAATATGCTCTAATTAAGTGCGGGAATGAATAATTAATATAAATAATATGAATCACCATCTTCTCACTGTGAATATTACAAAGGCATCAAAGACTTTTATTTTGAAACCTAGCAGAAACCTCTCCTTGTGCACACCACCATCTGCTTTTATTTTGGAAGACACGCACCAGCAATGAGGCCTATTTCACATTTGGGGTCTTCGTATGCACAGGTCATCATGGTTCCCACGGTGTCATTCACCACGGCAACAATGTCCAGATCAAATTCCTTTGTGTGTGAGAGGGTCAAGGCTAAGGTTCGGTCACATTTTATTAATTTCATTACAAGTGACACTTTTAAGATTGGCGAGTTTCACACACACAAACACATAGATACACACACAGACACACATGCAGATACACACAGACAGAAACACACAAGCAGACACACACACGCGCCCACATGCATACATATACATGAATAATAGTCACATTTTTCCGCTTGATAGCCTCTCTTAGCATGTCCACCACATCATGTCCTTCACAGTCTGTGGCTTTGAACCCCTTGGTCCAGCTGACCAGTGCCCCCTACAGGGGAAAAAATACACAGGTCAAACCCTTCAGAAAATGGGACTCTGCAGGGGGACGGGTGGATGTAGAGATGAAGACAACCCCCCCTCCCCACCCCCGACTGCACTGAAGACTGAGAGAGGAAAGGAGCACCTTATCAATGCCAGTCTGTCTGCAGGGGAAGGAGAAGGTGAAGCCCAGGGGAAGCCGTGTGTTCTTCATGCCCATGTAGTCCAGAAAGTCGGCAATGCACTGGACAATGTGGTCAAAGAGCTGAAAGACGGACAGGCAGAGATGCTCAGAGCCTGAGAGACTAATGAACTTCACAGAAGTTCTTCTGTATGTTCACTAGCTACCATCAGCTAACAACAAGTTAAGCATAAAAATATAAGCTGGCTTTATAGGCATACAGGCTGCCCAACAGAATTCTGACACTGCCTTACCACCAACAACCAGAGGGGCTGCTTTAGCACCCTCAGCACCACTGCTTCCAGTGCTAATGGGTGTAGAGCCCAAAAAACTGGATTCTGGGGGAGGTGAAGCTTTGGGTCTGAACCACTTGTAAACACTCATCAGGACCAGAAATACATTTTATGTATTTACATTAGTGATTATACAGTACCAGTAAAAATACTGGACACACCTGCTTTTAATGCATTTGTCTGTACTTTAGCTCCTGATAGGAGAAGGCAGTGAAGTAATACATATCAAATATTGCAATGACCAAGAGAAGTGTTTGACATCTGAAAATCTTAATTTTTGAAATTTTAGTCCCTTCAAAATAGCCCCTTTTTGCTTCGATGTCAGCACTGCAGACTCTTGGCATTCTTTCAGCCAGCTTCCAGATGTAGCCACCTGAAATGCTTCTCCAACAGTCCTGAAGGAGTTTCCAAAAGTTCTGGGCACAAGTTAGCTACCTTGCTCTTTCTCTTTGATCCAATTCATCCCATACCAGCTTTACAGGGTTTAGAAAGGGAAATTGAGATTGTGGGGGTCAGGTCATCTAATGCCGCACTCCATATTTTCTTGTTCACAAGATAACACATTTACTGTACAACCTCAAGGTGTGCTTAGGAGTGGTATTTTATTGTTTCAAAATAAATTACTTTCAATAGGTGGGCCCAGACTATTAACTCGTCCTGTAAAATACGACAAGCATACATGCTGAAACTGAAGTCATCAAACTGTCAGGCTACGCAAGTCAACAAAAACAGGCCATTTAGCGCAAACCCATAGTTGTAGATGCACCTCCCCCACCTGCAATGCTGAATTGCTCACCTCCTCCCCTGTGCCCTGCATGATCTCCAGGGGGATGGCGTATATCTTGTTGTAAATGCGGACGGACCGGCGCAAGCCACTGCGGATCTTAACCACCATGACACGGAAGTTGGTTCCGCCGAGGTCCAGGGCCAGATACTTTCCCCATTCTGAATTGAAAGAAAGCGAAAACTACTGCAGGCCATAAAATGACGGAGAGGTCTAGAAAGGTCTCAAGCATGTCCGTTTTGTATTACTCTTTCTAATGATGTGATGTATTACAACACATCCATGTAAAGCGCCTTGGGACTCTGTCCAGAAAAAGGCTCTACATAAAAATTTTTTGAATTGAAGTCCTGGTTCCTATTACGGAATAGATATGGAAAATCCAGTTTGTTCATTGCTACTTCGTTCTTTTATAAACTATAGCAGCCAATTTATTACTGATATAACTGCCAGTACTGTTATATTTGCCAATGATGCAATAACTACCAATAACATTTTTCCATTCTTATTGTAATAAAACTCAATAATAACTTACTAATAATGTAACAACATTTCTGAATCAAAAACATAACATTTTGTGCATAATGTAACAAGGTATTATATTACTGGCAGGTTGTTACATTATTATTGGCTAGTGTAGCAGCCAATAATGTAATCATTTTTAATACATTAATGTTAGTTATTACATTATTGCCAGTCAATATGTTATTGGCCGCTACACTCCTAAATACTTAAATTTATTTGGCAAAAAGCTAGTGATGAGCAAATGAAGCTTCATGAACCATTTGCTGTTTTTTTTTCTCCCCACTAGATGATGCTCTTGCTTTGGGGCATACGTTGAGCTCATTTATGATCAGAGAGCACCATCTGGTGGGGTCAGAAAATACAGCAAATGGTTCATGAAGCTTCACTTGCCCATCACTACAAAAATGCTCTAGATATCATGCTGGAATATGTGCATCACACACCAGCAAAGGACATGTGGGCACCATCTGTGGTCAGGTAGAGGATGACCACACGGGGGGAACTCACCATTCCCACTGGGCAGGGTGCACACAAATGAGGGCAGCATCTTGACAGGGGTACCAGTGTGTGTGCCCTTCCTGAGGCCACGTTCCAGGTCGACTCGCATCCTGTCACGCACTTGCTGCAGCTGGCCGGGACTCAGTGAGAAGGGTGCCAGTGTGTGACACACTTGTAGTCGCTGCGAGTGCAGCCGCCCCGCCACTGCTGTCACCATAGCGGCACCCTTGCTGCTGCCGCTCTCAGACAGCACGAAACGCACGTGGCACTCAGGCACCAGGCGGCGCACCACCTTGTGGAGTCGCTTGGCATACCTTGGGGGAGGGGGGGATTACTTCAGTTAACACTCATACCTGGGGGGGTCTGTGTGTGCTGCCGGGCTCCTTACTGTGAGGGGGGGGATTACTTCAGTTAACATTCATACCTGTGGTGGTCTGTGTGTACTGCCAGGATATTTACTGTGGTGGGAGATTAGGACAATTAACCCTCTGAGGACTAGGGGTAGGAAACACACTTTCACTGACTAGGGCATGATCACACATTTTTTCAAATATCATAAACTTAATTCATGGCAAATAAATTATTTCTTATATATTTGTTTTGCCATTACACTCATCTTTATTTCAATGTATATAGTAAATATGTCAGATTGTTTGTAATTTGACATCAAAGTAAAGACATTGCAAAATGCAGTTTGGAACACTTGCAGAAACATAATAAAAGTACATAGTAAGCAATGCTGGCAGTTTGTTTTGATCCCAGATATCTTGGCTACATGAAGATGATTAAATGGTGTAGTTGCAACATTCAGTTGGATAAATAAATAAGAAAAACCTAACATGTCACTATTTCTGGCTCCTTTCATTGAATATGCAGCAACTTTCATGTGTATGAATGAGCCATTGTCACTTGGCCACGTCCCCAACCCCCTTTTATGGCGCTGATGGGGACGTATCTGGATCGCGTTTCACTGCTGCATTGTTCATCAAATTATCATGCAAATGCCATTTCAATATGCGCTATTTATAATGTGAATAGCAATCTTCGGGTGACAGAGGTACTACACGCCCCCAATGCAGGTAAAACAAAGTAAGGTGACATGGTTTAATTTTTTACCAATTTAACCTAATTTTAAAAACATTAATACTTCCGACAATGGACGTTTTGAAAAGACCACCGATTACAGATTTAGCCAGCGTTTTTTCATGATTCTACATTAATATTTCAGCGAGATACAGTATAGACTGAAATAGACGCGAAAAGTACGCTGCATCGCAGACGATGTACTCGACCTCAGAGGTTTGGGTCCTTACTGCAGGGGGGGATTAGGACAGGTAACATTCATGCCAGGGGCGGTCTGTGTGTGTGGGCCGCCAGGATCCTTACTGCGGGGGGGGGGATTAGAACAGTTAACATTCATGCCCGGGGTGGTCTGTGTGTGTGTGCTGCCGGGCTTCTTACTGTGAGGGGGTGGGGTTAGGACAGTTAATATTCATGCTTGGGGTGGTCTACGTGTGTGCGCTGATGGGCACCTTACTGTGGGTGGGTGCGGTACACGGTGCCGTCCATGCCCACAGTAGTGCGCAGGCTCTTCAGCCGCTTGTTCTCGCGGATGCGTGTCAAGATAGCCGCCAGCGCTGCTGCACAGAGGTTGGCTGAGCGGAACGACACAATGGTGCAGACATGCTGCGCAGCTACACAATCGTCCTCAGAGGGCTGCAGTCCCAGTTCCATCAGGATGTTCCATGTGTTCTGCAGTCCCTCCTTATACCTGGGGAGGGATCAGGGGGGAATTGGGGATTTCAGCCGCTCACAGGAGCATGGCACTCCAGAAACTGGTACTTGGGCAGATGGGCAGATTCTCACATTTCCATGAGGGCCACATGTGCTGTCTGCAGCTTCCCCTTGGTGCACAGAGCATCCGACACACGGCCCCCGAACAGGAGCCCCCTCCTGGCCATCTTCAGCATAACGATCCGCACCAGCTCCCCCAGGTACATCCCACTGACCATCTTCTCAAACCTTGAGCCATGAAAAATGCCCAGTTAGGGACTGGAGAGAGGTGTATACTTATAAGAGAGGGAGTGGTGACACCGGTTCTAATCCCATGGCTGGCAGACTGTTCTAGGGGTGTTGGATAAATGACTGACCCCGTACTTGAACCCAAAGTATTCTCACCTGTATGTGCATGTTTATGTCTCAAAGAAAAGCATGATGGGATATATGAAACAAAGCATTTCAATATACATGTACTCATATGTGTAAAAATGGCAAATAAAGCATCATTTGCAGAGGTTTACTCTGATTTTTGAAAAGGCCCTTCCAAGACCATATGTTTGGTTTCAGCAATGGTCCAAAAGACCAAATAAGCCCCGAACCCAGGGCATATGAATAAAGCAGGACCGACACGTGAGGCGGGGCATACGCCTAAAGTAGGACTTACACGTGAGTCAGGGAATACACATGAAGTGGAACTTACATATGAGCCGGGGTATATACATGAAGCGAGGCTTATGCATGAGGCGGAGTTTACATGTGAAGTGAGGCATATGAGTGATGCAGGACATACACGTGAGGTAGGGCTTACGTCTGCTTGCCCGGGTGGCCCGAGGCGGCATCAATCTCCCTGTCAGACTCGGTGATGAAGTCATCGAGCATGCCGTCGTCGCCAAAAGCACCCCACTCAGTGTTGATGCACATGCGACCCTCGTCTCCCTCCACCAGGTCAATGTGCCTCATCTCCTCCATGTAGCAGGCATTGGTGCCTGTACCTACAGAAGTGTTCCCAGAGGTGAGACTGGTCCAGAACAATATTTCTATGGAATGTACTATGTTGGCTGGGGTGTTGGGTGGGTGGGTGGGGGGGGGGGGGCTCAGCACCTACGATGACCCCGACTTCACAGTTGCGTTCATCAAAGCCACAGGTCATCATGGTTCCCACTGTGTCATTGACGAGGGCAAGAACATTCACCTTCAGGTCCTGAACAGAAAAACACCCCTCCCACCCACCAGCTTACTGACGACATGCGACCATCTGGGCAGGGGCATTGTATAAATATACCTTTTAAAGACATAAAGGGTGTAAAGCATATCCACAACACAATTGTACTATAATGTTTACAGGCTGGAGGAGTTTCTACCATTACAGAATAAGCTGAACCTGCCTGTACAGCTTTGCCTTGGGTAGGGAGTTTACCTCCAAAAACAATGCCCTGCTTTATCAAAAGTAAAAGCAGAGAACTAATTTGGAAGATTATCTCCAAGACCCAGAGCAGGATGTTGGCGTCTATCCACTTGGGCAGAAGATTTTAGCTAACCTGGCCTCCTGCTCTGAGACTGGCAGCCTGGCCCAGCGTGGTACCTGACCCAGGCAGCATATCCCAACTGGCTCGATGATCCCAGTGGGATGATCGGCCTTGGAAGTGGCATGGGACTCATTACCAAATGTGACCTTTGGCTTTCTGGCATCATCCAGACACAAGCGTTTGCATAATTCTGCAGACTGCACTCATCATCAGCAACCAAACAAGTCTGAATATATATGTATAATGTGCACTAGGAACACTTACCATAGTTCTCCAATTTTTGTATTTTGTCATTACTTCCCCAAACTCACCCCGACTCTGTCAACAGCTTGCCTCAGGGATTCCACCACATCTGTGCCCAGGACCCCCCTGGCTTTGAAATTCTTTGACCAGGACAGCAGCACACCCTGGGATGGGGGGATGTGGAGGCACAAGGGGGAGAGGTATTCAGACAAAGGACATCAGAGACAACTGGTATAGTATTCAGGGTGCTGTGTTGAAAACCCGTTTCTGTAGGATGTAAAGTATCTGGTTTTGAGTGGGGGGGGCATCCCTCCATACCTCATCCACTTTGGTCTGTCTGCAGGGGAAGGAGAAGGTGAATCCCAAAGACCTTCTCTCATGAGTGCTGAGATCCAACTTGTTCCTCTGCATAAAATCCTTCAAGGATTCGGCCACATGGTCGAACAGCTGGGGGAAGGAGGTCCACAGGGTGCACAGGGCACGTCAGTGTGGGGGGGTAGTGATGGCAGGCCCCCCAAGGGATTCCTAGTGCATCCCCCCTGAGGCTAAGGGTCACCGGATGATGAGAGGAATCCCTGAACTTTTATTGACTTCTGAACACTATTCCAAACGTAACTGATAACTTGGTAAACAAAATTTTTTATGCTGTAAAAATATGGGGAGAAGCCATATCTGCCCTCTGTGGGATGACTCAAGCAGACCCACAGCTTCAAAGCACTCAGATTAGGGGCTCCAGGAGGACAGCTCTGGGTCCGTCTGGCAACATGGGGGCGCTGTGTGGCTCAGCGGGTTATCACCACTGTGCCTGTGATTGGAAGGTTGTTCGATCAGATCCCAGGGACAGAAGAATGTGTCACCATTGGGCATTTGAACAAGGTCCTTAACCTAAATTGTTCAAGGGACTGGCTGACCAGATACTGCCTATGGCCAGAAACGAAATCCCAGAGGAGCCTGATCATTATTTTTTTTGTTTAAATATTTATCCTTATTCAGCTGCAAAGCTTAAAAAGCCAATCAGCTGTCAGCTACACAGGGCACTCCACCCTGACACCATTCACACGGCAACACCATTGTGTGCTTGACTCACGTCTGTGCCACGACCCCCAAGCACATCCTCCGGGAGGGGGTAGCTCTGGCTCTCCATGTCCACCTTCCCCCGGCCATCCTCAGACACCTTCACTAGCAGCACCTTGAACTTGGAGCCTCCGAGGTCCAGGGCCAGGAACTCACCTTTCTCTGGGGTCCAGAGGAAGGCCGTGTTAGCAAACACTTGCGGTCCGTGTTTGGGATGTGCAGAGCATGATGACGAAAGGGTCCAACAAGGCGATATGGACTCAAGTTGCAAACCTGATGGTCTCTCAGTCAGACCCCCAGCCCTCTCAGCCTTCACACAGTCAGCTCCCCATATTCCGAAACACTGTCTGGGTTTGAGTGCTGAACATGACGCACCTGAGCCATCGGGGGTGGAGCGAACGTGTGTGGGGAGCATCCTGACGGAGGCGGTGGCGTTGCTCTCGACAGAGAGCCCCTTCTCCATCTGGGTACGAAAGCGGGTGGAGATGTCCAGCAGCTGCTCATCGGAGAGGCGCATGGCATGCAGGTAGCGGTCAACCTGCAGTCAGAGGAATGCAAGATTGACCACAGCCAGATGGGAAGAGTCTCCACTAAGAGCTTCTCACTCTACTGTTGATTATGGCTGCCAAATATGACTATTAATGTCAATTAATATCGACTATTTTACGAATTGGTCAATCAATATAAATAATTGACTTTCATTAATTTTATCTTGACAACAAACTATGTCATTGGACTTTTCGCCACTATACAGACATCAATGTTACCTATGCCCAAAATTTGATAGGCAGATTAGTAGCGCACATAAAATGTGAGGTGTACTATAATACCTAAAAGTTAGCCATCTGAATATATTCAGCATATCCTTATGCTTGTTAAATTCGGTTAGCGGACCACACTACACATGACGTTGCAGTGAAGAAATCGACTGTTCAGCAGCCTTGACTGCATGTAAAAAAGGAGATATTGTAGTGAAACTAGGTAACAAGACGTTGATGGTGTGGCGAAATTTGTTGCAGTTTGAAGTCCAACATGGTTTGTGGTAAATACAGTTTATTTTTCTGTTTCTATTTCTGTTCATGAATTATTTAATTTTTGTTATTTATTTAGTGTCCATTTTCGTTTCCGTTAAAGTTTACGATAATACTACTGGCCACGACAAGCCCAATGTGCACGAATGCACACCAGCACCGTCAATAAATGCAGAATAAGCCCAGATTCTACCCTAAACTTGTTCTTAAATACTCAATCAATGGAAATTGTAAGGTAGCAGGAAGACAACTCCATGGCTTTAATAATGAGTGTATTCAAGAGCTACAGAGACAAAAGATATTAAACAGCTCTCTATACAAATGGTTATTTAATCAACATGAAATCGACAACACTTGCGGTCGTTTTACCTATTCAGATGGCCCATCATGCAGAATATCACTGGTGCATTTTCTCTTCAGATGCTTGTACACAGCACTAACGGTGCTATGGGATGCCATCGAACTTTGCACAGTATACAAACCATCTTCTTGTTTTGTGATAATTTGAACTACTCCCATAATTACACAGTGATATTGAAGAAAAACATTTCTTATAATGAAGCATTTTAGAAATCAAAACGTCATCAACTACACTGGGAAATTGCGGCAGCCCTACTGCTGATCATCCTGATCAGGGGGGCGCAGCAGCTGAGAGTCCAGACTTTAGTCAGGTTCATACCCACCTTTGCGATCACACTCATGCATGCATCCCATTTGCAACCAAAGTAATCGTTGTTCAGTACTTGAAAAACCTTTGCCAGAATTTTATATAACTTACTTGCAACCATAAATTTAAAATGATCTTTTTATTTTGATCAAGTTCATTATGAAATGTAATTTCTTTATTTTTATACTTGTTTTACAGTTAAGGCAGACACTGCTTTGTGAAATTTCGGTGTTAAGTATTTAGAGAACAATTCCCCAACATAGAGACAGGATTTCCTGGGCTTTAAACACAAAGGCTCCAGTTTAACAAAGCGTGCTTCTACATTTCTAAACAAAAGCATAAAAGCCAGCAGAGAAGCAAAGAGAGCATACCGAAAAGGAAATGTTACGGTTGCGTTGGCTGTGTCTGCCTCCCTGCAAAACGTACCAAAGACTCGAACAAGGTAAGACACAGGGCTGGTGATTTACCACAACATTAGTCATTAAACAGGAGAGTCTCCACAGAAAAATTGAACAATACTGAATAGATCAGTACATAACATCTTTACCATTCCTGTTTTTTTTTGCCCTAAAACATATCCCCACATGATCAAACCCCCTTCTCCACAGCTCCACATCCCAGAGACCAGTGGGTTAATTATTCCCGGAGTCACCCTGAATCAGATAAATCCACATTAGCACACACCTGTTCAAGGTTTACAGTCCGAGCAATTCTGAAAGGACTGCCCTGCTTGGTCCTTAGACTCTCTCAGCATCTGAGACCCTGAATGACACAGAGTTCACATCCCAGAAAGTCTCCGACACCCTGTCTCACATTCTGCATGCTTAGCAGCAAGATTCATCTGGAAAAGACACACAAGTCTCCACCCCTGACCACAAACACACACTCCCCCATGCCTGACCATAAAGGAGAAGGTCACCGACGCACCTTTTTGACATGGTCCTCCTGCAGTTTGGAGAAGTAGAAGGAGAGCAAGTGCACAGCAAGCATCATAAATGGTGCCCCCAGTGGCCTGTCCAAAGCAAAAGTTTCCCTGAAGGAGAAAGACGTCCCCAGTGGAGGAATCTCTCTCTGGTGTGACTTGCTGTTTGCGATTTTGCAGAGGCCCTGGTCCTATGCTTAAAGCCTCCTCCCTCTCCCCGCTGCCTGTTCCCAAAGAGAGCGTGAAGGAGGGGTTTCTCTCTGGGGCTCACCCCCACCCGCCCGTGAGAGTTTAACCAGGCCTGCTCCGCCCCTCGGCTCAATAATTAACAGGCTGCTTTCTCGCTGGCTTGCCTGCTCTATGCGTTCACCTAGCAATGCGCTGGCTCCCTTCCAGGGGCCATGACCTCCTCCACAGATCTGGTCACGTCTGTGAAAACAGCACATGGGAAGGGAACCGGATTGAAAATGGCAGCCTGCAAAGCAGATGACACTGGCAGTCATACTCCTATGAGCATGACAACATCAATATAGAGAATAATTAACCCGAAGATCAGGCGATGGGGCCGGAGATCGCAGCACATCTCTGAAGGCTCCTTCAAAGCAGAGTAGCTGTCTGACCCACCACTATAATCTGGGTTCTGTACACAAATTCCACCCCCAGAGAAACAACAATGGAAAGGCTAGACAATAAAATCCCACCCCCCCAAACGCAATCACTCCTTATCGAGGCAGATAACGCTTAAATGCATCATCTGTGGCAATTACAGCACCACGTTGCATCTGCTAAAGGTCGCATGTGTGGTTCCTTCTGTGCCACAGGCTCTGAGATCAAGGTCTTTGAGCAAAGCCTGTGGTTCACAATGCAATAAAGATACACCCCCACACAGCTTCACTCAGGCCGATCACACACAGTGCAGCCACAAACAGCGCAACCGCACACAGTAAAGTCACACACAGGATGATCACATACAGCACAGTTACATGGACTGGTCACACACAGCACAGCCACACAGGCTGTTCATGCACAGCACAGCCACACAGGCTGTTCATGCACAGCACAGCCACACAGGCTGTTCATGCACAGCACAGCCACAAGGGTCAGTCACACACAGCACAGCTACACACAGGACCATCACAGTGTAGCCACATGCAGCACAGCCACAAACAGAGTAGTCACACACAGGATGATCACATACAGCACAATCACATGGGCTGGTCACACAGCGCAGCTGCACACACGCAGCCACATGCAGTACAGTGAAGCATGCAGCACAGCCATAAGGGCCAGTCATAGTGCAGCCAGATAAAGTGCAGTGACACATGGGCTGGTCATACACAGTACAGCCACATGCAATACAGTGAAGCATGCAGTGCAGCAACACATAAGCTAGTCACAGACAGCACAGCCACACGCAATGCAGCTACAATTGGCCTGGTCACACACATCACAGCCACACATGGGCTGGACACATCTGAAAAATGCCACTTTCAGCCTGCATAGAAAATATGTGAGGGGGAGTGGGCCCCCTACAGGGCAGAGGACGCAAATGTGGTACAGATTGTCCGACAAAAATGGGCCGGCAGTCTGGCTACATGCTTGTTGAATGACCAAACAGCAAATGTGGCACATTTCTGGAAATGTGGCTGAAGTATCACCACATTTAGAAAAGCACTGACTTGAATTACAACACAACCACAGGCACAATTGCAAAATTCCCAGTTAGAACTGTGACACAGGGAACCTTTCACCAAGCAGGAAAAAGATACTGGCAGCACAAACAGGATTAATGCATGCACTACACAGCAGCTTGAAGGGCTATGTACCAAAGCCACAGGCAGCCTATCCTGGTGATCCCAGCATGATGCAGCATGTTTTCAAGATTACTGATTTAAAGTGGTTTCCATGGTGATAAGCAGCCAATCAGAAATAATGTGAAACATGAAATCAGAAAATGAATAATAAGAGCACAGAGGAGAGCGGTCCTGGGCTGGAGAGTAAATTAAACCTTCAACTCTTATCAAGGTGTGTTGATGCGCATTTTATGAAGCTTTTCCTATGTTTCCGAACAATGACTTGGACAGACAGAAGTTCAAAGGCTGGTGTGCACAAGGAAGTGAGGCCTACCTATCCCTCTCACAACTTTGTGGACCCTGTGACCTCAGATGACGGCAGCTTTGGCAGTAAGACTGGGAATAGATCAGCCACACAGACGGAACCCACGTACTACTAAAAAAGATAAAACTCGATTTTCTTTTTGCTCCCCACAGAGAGTTTAAAGGTGAACAGATTAAACTGTAAAATAATCACACTTCATGTTTCATGTTTGCTAAATGCCCACTATTAAGCAGGTATCTTTTTCACATTCCAGTCGAACTTTAATAAAATGTGGGAGAAATTGGTCAAAATATTGAATATTTTATTATGTACAATGTTTAATTACACTTCAGTTTATCCATTATCTGACATAGTAAACGTGAGTCTTTTTGTTAATCTGCCAACTTAATTCTCAGAGAATAAAAGACTAACAGGACAGCCAGTCAAGCAGCCAAAAAGAGGGACACAGCATGGCTGCATTCTGTCACTAGACCAACTAAGATGGAGATGATGACCAGGAAGCAAGTAGTGAGGAATGGCAGGACCCCCCCCACGTTTTACCATCCATAATGAGATGGAAGGAGGGGGTCTAGGCTTGATTCCGCTCCTCCACTCCACCTTCTTCTGTTCTGCACGGCTCCCTGCTCCCGGGGAGCGAAGGTCATGCCAGTAGCCTTTGACATATGCTCGTCTTTTGACATGGGTGTATCCGGTTAACAGGGTCCGTCCAGCGCCCCCTCCACAGCTCTACGCAAACAGGATGACAACATTCCTCCTGTACTACGATTTCCCGAAATATTTCCAAAATGCAAATCATCTCCCTCAATGTTGCTGCCATGAATAGAAAGACCTATAGCGGCCGCCTGGCCTTTCAACAAAGGCCTCTGCTTCAATGATGTAACTGGGGCCGTGGCAGTAATATGGGGGGGGGGTGTTATTTAGTTTTCTTCTTCGCCGCTTTGCCTTTGGCCATGCTACCTTTCGCCTGCTTGCCCGTGGTCCTGCCTAGCTGGGCCCCCTGAGACCACTCCCTCTGGAGCTGCTGCAGGAGCTCCCGAGTCAGTTGGCCCTCCTGGACCAGGCGCGAGCTCAGAGAGCCAACATCTCCAGCATCCCCCACCAGGGGGCCCAGGGCCTGGGACCCCCGCGGTCGGCGCCGGGCCTGGGTAGAGGCCTGCATTTGGGCTTCAGCCAGATTTTCGGAGCCATGGGCCTCCGCGGCCCGGATGAGTCGGGTGATATTGTGGACACCAGCCTGGATGATGTCATCCAGCTCCCTCTGGATGTCCCGCACTCGGTTGGCATCGGGGAACATGTCCATGAAGCGGTAGCTGGAGAAGAGACAGAACATCACGGGCATTTATCACCACTAAAACCACGCATTAACGTGGCCCCATGCTGACCACAAACAGGAAACTCCCACATGGGAAATGCGTCAGGCTCACACCAATTCACAGCGGGTGACAGGAGAATGAAGCCTCGACGCACAAAGGGGTGGGTCACACTCACCTGAGCCACAGGTAGAGGTCGAGCACATCGTGGACAGCCTCCAGGTGCACCAGGTCTTTGATGTTCTTGGGTGGGACCAGAGGCCAGCCCACATGCCTGCACACCCAGTCAAAGGTCAGGGGCTCATCCCGGCTGAACTGCCTAGCAAACTGGAGGTAGAGCTCCACATTACAATGGTTACCATAGGGCAGGGCTTTTCCCATCAAAGTGTGCATGATCCGTGTTTAAAACTGTATGGCTGCCAATGATGACAACTTACATATGAGTGTGACTGCATTCACCAATGAAATGACTGAAGTCTGCACTATTAGAATAATTATCTGACTACCCCTAGAAAGAAAACAGAACAATGAACCCCCATTAAATCCCCCCCAGGGGTCTGGGGGATGGTCTCCATCAAAGCCCGAACCTTAAGGAAGGTGGTACAGACGAATGGCTGCTTCTTGTTGATGGGCGCTGTGCAGAAGACGTATCGCGAGCGCAAATTCAGCGGAATGTGCTGGATCATATCCGCCAGGAACTTGAAGTCCTCGATGTTACAGACAAAGTAGAGGCCATCCACCTGGGACAAGCTCACAAATATGTCCTGCAGGACAGGCAAAAGCAAAGTGAACAGAGGTTGTGTTCTATCTGTCACAGTGCCATACATGCCACCTTTCTTAAAAACATTCTAGTTGAGCCGTGGCGGAAGATCGCTGATGACCGCTGGGCCCCCAGAACCTCGAGGCTAACAGGATAACCAGCGTGAGCCTGTATCCATAGAAATTATGCAGCTGAACCATAGAGACACTGTGCTTCACTTAGCTTACAATCAGGTTGGAGAGTGTGGCTTCTGGCAGATGGTAGGCGAACATCTCAATCTGCTCAGCGGTCGGGTGCAGGCCAGCCATCTGCAAACAGAGTAATAGACAGTTAAGGTAGAATCAATTTGACCTGCCTGTCAGTGTGGGCTCGGCATGGTCTCTGTTTGCTGTTACAGTGATATGGTCACCTTCCTCCTAAGTGAGAGCAGAAAGGTCAACACAACATGAAACCGCTGGTACCCATAAACAGCTCTAGTCCCAAGAAGAAGGTCACTATAAGTTCAGTGTCCGTGTGCTCTGGTAGGACAAGAGCATGCCTGTGGGTTGCTCTACCAGAAGTAGGGTAGGCTTTCGAGAAGAAGGTCAGTCAGCATCTTTGGATGCCACCAGAGGCCTCAGACTGCCCCAAAATCCCAACTGACGGCCCTCCTCACCTCCACGGGGTCCACAGGGCGACTCATTATCTCCTTGAGCATGGGTAGGTCATCCCGGTGCATGGTGGTGACCTCGCCCTCCTGGAAGGCAGAGCTGAAGCGGCCGGCCCGCCCAGCAATCTGAAGGGCCTGGGAGGTGCTGATGGTGTCCATATCCTTTTCACCCTTCTCGTTGACACTGGGCTTCAGCAGGGAGTTGAAGATGATGCGTCGAATGCTCCTGGGGGAGAGAATGAGGAGGAGAAGGAGCATGGCAGTTTCGGTTCAACCCATATGGAGAGGATGAGGAGGAGTACAGCAGTTCGGCCTCAACCCATACAGGGAGGATAATGAGGAGTACAGCGGCTCAGGCAGCTTGGGCTAAATCCAAACAGGGAGGATGAGGTGGAGGAGCATAGCGGCTCAGGCAGCTTGGGCTAAACCCATACAGGGAGGATGAGGTGGAGGAGTACAGCGGCTCAGGCAGCTTGGGCTAAACCCATACAGGGAGGATGAGGTGGAGGAGCACAGCGGCTCAGGCAGCTTGGGCTAAACCCATACAGGGAGGATGAGGTGGAGGAGTACAGCGGCTCAGGCTCCAGACATACAGTAGTATGCAAAAGTTTGGGCACCCCTCGATAAATAACATATTTTGGTCATTTTTTTATGGAAAAGATGTAAACAGTCTCTGTAGGAAATGGAAAAAATGCACAATATTTTCACCAAACATTGATGCATAGTTACTTTTTATGTCATAAATTGAACAAATATAAAAAATTAAAACATTATTATGGCACTCTGCAAAAGTTTGGGCACCCTAAGAGTTCCAAAGTCTCGGATTCTTTTTACAAGGTTTCAGACCTTAATCAGCTCATTAGATCTGATGCATGGCAACAGCTGTCATTAGTAAATGTCAGCTCGTGCCAATTTCAAAGCTGACATTTATAATACACTGACTCTTCAAACCTTGTGCACACACTTGTGGACACTCAACAACCATGGGTTCCTCTAAGCAGCTGTGTAAGACTCTGAAAATGAAAGTTATTGATGCCCACAATGGAGGAGAAGGCTACAAGAAGATAGCAAAGCGTTGTCAGCTTGCAGTTTCCACAGTGAGAAGTGTAATTAAGAGATGGCAGTTCAGGGGAACTGTGGAGGTCAAGATGAGATCTGGAAGACCAAAACAACTCTTGGAGAGAACTGCTCATATGCTGGTCAGAAAGACAAATCAAAATCTCCATTTGACTGCAAAAAAACTGCAGGAACATTTAGCAGACTCAGGAGTGGTGGTGCACCGTTCCACAAGACCTTCATGAAAGAGTCAGCAGAAGAAAACCTTATCTGCATCCCCATCATAAAATCCAACGTCAGAAGTATGCAACAGAACATCTACAGAAGCCTGATGCGTTTTGGAAACAAGTGCTGTGGACTGATTAAGTTAAAATAGAATCCACAATCAGCAACGGCATGTTTGGAGAAAAAAAGGAGCAGAATTTCATGAAAAGGACACCTTGCCAACTATTAAGAATGGGGGTGGATCTATCATGCTTTAGGGTTGTGTTGCAGCCAGTGGCACAGGAAACATTGCTCGGGTGGAGGGAAGAATGGATTCCATTAAATACCAGCAAATTCTGGAAGCAAACATCACACCATCTGTAAAAAAGCTGAAGCTGAAAAGAGGATGGCTTCTACAACAGGACCACGACCCTAAACATACCTTGAAATCCACCATGGACTACCTCAAGAGACACAAGCTGAAGGTTTTGGAATGGCCATCACAGTCCCCTGATTTTAAAATCATTGAAAATTTGTGGGTAGACCTTAAAAGAGCTGTGCATGCAAGACGACCAAAGAATATTACAGACCTAGAAGCCTTTTGCAAGGAAGAATGGGAGAAAATCCCAAGTACAAGAATTGAAAGACTTTTAGCTGGCTATAAAAAGCATTTGCAAGCTGTGATATCTGCCAGAGGAGGTGTTACTAAGTACTGATTATGTAGGGTGCCCAAACTTTTGCAGAGTGCCACAATAATGTTTTTATTTTTTATCTTTGTTAAATTTATGACATAAAAAGTAACTATGCATCAATGTTTGGTGTAAATATTGTGCATTTTTTCCATTTCCTACAGAGACTGTGTTTACATCTTTTCCATTAAAAAATGACCAAAATATGTTATTTACTTTTGCATACTACTGTATGAGGATGAGGAGGAGCAGGGCAGCTCAGGCTAAACCTATACAGGGAGGATGAGGAAGAGCACGACAGCTCAGGCTAAACCCATACGGGCAGGATGAGCACAGAAGCTCAGGCTAAACCTACATGGCCTTTTAATGAGCATCTACACTAATACTTCCTGCGGGTACTTCTAGACATGTGGCTATACTTGAAGTAAATACTAATTTCAAGTAGATGGTGTAATAATAACATTTAGCTACCCAGAGAAAGCTTTATCAACCTGTAGATCATAACTCCCCAGCATACAGTGACCAGGTGACCATCAGGATCCCTCAAATACTCACAAGTTAAGCCCCATCCCAATGGCGTCTGTCGCAACAAGGATTTTGCAAGGATCAGCCGGGTCGTTGAACTTCTTTGCCTGTGACAGCTTGGTGCCTGTTGTCCATAAAAAATGTAGTATTTAAATCTAATATGCATCACATGCCGACATATGTCCAATAGGAGGTTGGATAAAGTCTAGTCACATGACAATGGTTGTGACCCACAGGAGATTTGTACAATATCATGTGACAGAGATCACAACTGCGAAAGGGATGGGGAAAGTGGGGTTTACCTGGGGGCAGGCTCCCGTAGATGACTGCGCACTCCAGGCCGCGGGCCTCTACCTGCCTGCTGATGGAGTAGATGTCGTTCTTGCTGAAGCATACGATGCAATCACCCGGCCGTAAGTTGTCCAGGGACTCCACGGCGTGGTCCATCAACGAGAACGGCGTGAGCCTCTCATAGCTGCGAACCTATTCAGAGAGACGCCTCTTTGTCTGGACTGTCTGCTTTTATCAGTAAGCTTCAGCCATGGGATGCATTTCAGATCACGTCCGTATGCGGTTGGCTGGTTGGTCTGAATGCTCCGGACCCCCCAACTCCTCCCCCCCTACTCCCTAATCCCCCCCGGCTCGGACACACCTCCACCTCCTCTCCCGTGGTGTACATAAGCTCCCTAATGAAGCACACAGCCGCCGCTTCTCCACACACATGGATCTCGTTGGCACACAGGCCTGTTGGTGAAGAGCAGAGCATCAACAATGGGTATAGCTATAGTTCCGGGAGTTACCGAGTGCACACCAAGTATGCGGAACAGCTAGTGAGCTTCCTGACCTAGTTTAGGTGCTTTATATATAGAACACTCAGCTGCTACCCACTGAGTGCATATTATCATTATTTAGCATACAGTGAGGGAAATAATTATTTGTTGAATTCCTAAGTTCACCCATTTATACAAAAATGAGGTCTATCATTTCAATGGTAGGTTTAACAAACAGTCTGAACAAAACAAGAAAAAAATCAGTATGTAACAGGTACAAATCAATTTGTAATTTATCTAGGGAGATAATTATACATAAACTACAAGCCAGCAATAAATTAGGTCAAGTATACTATATTGCAAATGGTATTGGGACACCTGCCTTTACACACACATGAACTTTAATGACATCCCATTCTTAATACATAGGCTTTAATATGGAGCTGGCCCACCCTTTGCAGCTATATCAGTTTCAGCTCTCCTGGGAAGGCTGTCCACAAGGTTTAGGAGTGTGTTTATGGGAATGTTTGACCATTCTTCCAGGAGAGCATTAGTGAGGAAGCCTGGCTTGCCATCTCTGCTCTAATTCATCTCAAATGTGTTCTATCGGGTTGAGGTCGGGGCTCTGTGCAAGCCAGTATAGTTCCTCCACACCAGGCTCGCTCATCCGTGGAGGACTTATTGCTCAAGTGGCATCCTATCACGGTACCATGTTTGAATGCACTGAGGTCCAGAGAGCGACCCATTCTTTTGCAAATGTTTGTAGAAGCAGTCTGCATGCCTAGGTACTCGATTTTAAACATCTGTGGCTATGGAAATGATTGGAACATCTGAATTCAGTGATTTAGAGGGGTGTCACAACACTTTTGGCAATATACTGTACATGTGCACCAACACAACACAAATAGTACTTAAGTATTAACAGATACAATGCCAGCATTCTCAATTAATCGCATCACTTTCTTAAATAGTATTCTTGGATCATTAACCTGTCTACATCATCAACCTTATCACCATGGGAAATACCAAAGAGCTGTCTAAAGACATCACAGACAAGACTGCTGACCTTCCAAAAGGTAGAATGTGCTACATGACCATCAGCAAGCAGCTTGGTGAGAAAGTGACAACTGTTGGTGTAATTATTCGCAAATGGAAGAAAGACCAAATAACTGTCAATTGCCCTCGGTCTGGGACCACAAGGAAGATCTCATCTCATGCAGCATCAATGATCTTAAGAAGAGTGATGGTTAACCCCAGAACTACACAAGGAGCTCGTTAATGATCTCAAAGCAGCAGGGACCACAGTCACCAACAAAACCAATCAGTAACATATTTTGCCATTAAGGTTTGAAATCCTGCAGTGCTCGGAAGTACCCCTGCTCAAGAGGGCCTATGTTCAGGCGCTTCTGAAGTATGCCAGTGAACACCTGAATAACTCCAATGAGGCTTGGAAAAATATGGTGGGGTCAGATCGAGCTGATTGGCATCAACTATATTCGCCGTGTTTGGAGGGAAAGGAATGCCGACTATAACCCCTGTACAAAGATGTACAGGGCCATGTACCGTAAATTCTCGGATGAGAACCTCTTTCCTTCAGCCAGGGCACTGAAAATGCATTGTGGGTGAGTCTTCAGGCAAGACAATGACCCTAAACATACGGCCAAGGCAACAAAGGAGTGGTTCAAGAAGAATCTCATTAAGGTCATGGAGTAACCTAGCCAGTCTCCGGTCAATAATCCATGTGACCTGACTCACCCAGCAATGCCCTGGTCCAGGCCCATCCTCTGGAGGGATCCCTGATCATTTGGATCTCATCAATCACTGCCACTTCATCTGGAAGGGAAAGAGGGTGTTGAGGGGTGTGTCCCACCTCTCAGCACATTTGCCAAAGTGTTGGAACAGCAACAAAGACCAGACAATGCCAGCTCTACCTGGTTTGGCTGTGCTACCAGAGTGCAAAATAAAATGCTTGTGGGTACCCTGAACTTTTACATTTTAGATGAAAGACAGATTAGATATATGGATGGATGCATGCATGCATGAATTTGATTCTTAAAGCTGAAAGTGTCTACTGACATGGACTTGTGACACTGCTCATCTCAATGGTGCAGGCAACATGGTTGGATGGCTTTCCATCTGTATCTACGAAGGTGCGCTCCTCTCCCGTCACCAGGTCACACGGCACTCCCTGTGAGGACACAAGCGCAGACACTGAATGGGACAGAGAAGGTCAGTGCCAGTAACCAAAAGTGGGATGTGGAGAGCTCATGCAGCAAAGCAGCTCTTTAATACACCAAAGACCCCATGAAGCTAGCTGGTAGCTGGTTCAATATTATGTATTCAGATTACAATTGGCCAATTTCAAGCTTCAGGTATAAGCAGATAAACCAAGTTAGAAGGCCAGGAATAATCATACTGACAGCGTTGTTGCTCTTCTCGAAGATCTCGTGGGCCAGCAGCTTCAGTGGGCCACAGTAGACGGCAGATTTCGCTTCCAGGTACCTCTGAATGGCGTGGTAGGTCTTCCCGCTGTTGGTGGGACCAGCATGGAAGATGACTTTCCTCTGGATGGCTCTGGCCTCAGGGTACCTAAAGCACAGGACATGTCGTGTCTGACAGGCTGTGGTGCCCCCTCATATCAAATGCTACGCAGGAAGCAGCAGCTGTCTGTGACAAACATGATGTATTAGAGAGCAACAAACCAAGGTGTGACACTCAAAGCTGGGACCTGGGACCGCAGCGCTTACCAGTTTGCTGGAACACGCAAATCGCTGATCTTGCGAAGGTCATCCATGCAGTCCAACATGGGGAAAATCTGTTTGGCGTGCCTCATGAAGTATGGGTAGATGTCATCTATGTGCCCTGAAATCGGTCAAGAAATCAGCAATAATAAAAAATAAATGGGAAGTGGGTGGCTCAGTAGGATTGGACCCTTAACCCCTGCTCCAGGAACTGTCTGCCCCCAAATTTACATCACTTTGGATAAAAGCATCTTATAAATAAGTAAAATGGAAACACACCTGCTCCACAGCATATGTCACTGAGGATGATGTGTAGGTCGGCACCCAGTGTCTCAGTTTCCAAGACATACTTCCTGAAGCTGATGAAGGCCTGGTGGAAGAGGCGAGCTGAGGGACAGGAGGGGACACAGTCAGGGACACCAAATCCAGCTCCACTGCTGATCTTGGTCAGTGAGTGCTGATGTAGAACTCTAAGAATGTCCTGGTGGTGCCAGGGGGGGGGGGGGGGGGGGGGAATGGAGGGTCTTTTGCTAGTTTAGACCCATAATCAAAAGGTGGTCACCAACATACTTACAGGGTGAGGGGTTGGAATTCTATACTAACTGTGCGGGGGTCCTGATTTTATGCAGGTTTCTTCCTGCAGTCCAAAGACATGCACCGAGGGTGACTGGTGCCTCTAAACCGTATTGCTGTGTGTGTGTGCATGTGTATGTGCTATGCCATAGACCGGTATCCCTTAGTGAATGTACTCCTGCCTTGTGGCCTCTACCACTGGGTAGAGGCCACATAAAGATTTCTGGTACCTGCTGAAAGGCGAGGACCTAGGACTATACCGCCAAATGTTGACCAAATTTGGTGGTGGTATAGTGTAGGGCCTTGCCTTTTATGGGGTAGCAGAGATGTTTGTACCTTAGGGGATAATCCTGAGAAATGACCTGTCAAACCTGGCTTATATATGCCAATGCATGTACTGTAAACCCATGGATTTCAAAGTGGATTTTATTTAAAATGCTACAGTGAAAGTTGACCAAATTTGGTCGAGATATAGCCTAGGTCCTTGCCTTTCGGGGGGTACCAGATATGTTTGTACCTTAGGGGATAATCCTGAGAAATGAGCTGTCCAACCTGGCTCATAACATAAAATTATATGGATTTCAAAGTGCATTCTTTTAAGTGGTATATTAAATCTGACCAGATTTGTTTAGAAAATAGCCTTGAACGTTGCCTTTCTGATGCTATATGACTTGTTCATACATTATGGGAAAGTAAGACATTAATTGCATTTAAGTATATCCTGTATTTTGTACATACGAGTACTCACTCTTTTCCTATGGACGATCGCTTGGAGTCCTAAACCGTAATGTACGGCTGATACCGTAATGTCATGTATATGCGTGCATCTCATATTTTAAGCACGGATAGCTTGACCGCAGTTAAAAATAAGCAACGCGCGAAAAAATGGGAAGCCAAGAGTTTAGAAAAATGTTCTCACCATCTAGACCGTGTTCAGATGCCAACTTTTGCATCTCCTTCTTTTTGTAGAACTTGTTCAGCGCCTTGAGAAGTTCGCCTGTTAAAACGGCACGAACGTGACAGTAACTGATCACCAGGAGGGATTCAGCACGTCCGCCCCCCGGTTAAACACGAGCTCGAACTTCATTTTCATACATGACGTAAGCATGAGCACAGACACACAGACTCAGCTCTATATCGGTAAGCATAAGCGTTTCCATATAGATGTAAATATGATTAATTGCGTTCCACAATTTACAGTTATCGATATAATGGGAGTTGACATGATGTTGCCTTAAATCGGCTCACGTACTTTTATCCAGCGGCTGGGTGAGCTCAACTCCAACAGTCCCGTCGCCGGAAAATTCAGATTTAATGTCCACTGGCACAAAGAGAGACGTATCTGGAGGTCGGGATGAGCTGCTCGAGAAATTTCGGCGTGAAATTATGGTCAGTGTCCTGCCATCTCCGTACAACGGTATAATTCGACTGGGCTGATTCAGATCAGCTACTGAAGCAGCAGCATTACGGAAGGAGATCTGCCTAACCCGGGGCTGGACCCGTGTTAACAAGAATATATAACGATTCATGGCCATCTTTAAACACAAAAACCAACAAAGTCACTGTTTTCAGTCAGTCAGTCTCTATTTCCACATGTTGTACAGCGATACACTGTGGCAGAGGACGGTCAACACCAGTCTCTCAGTCAACGTGGTGAAGGACCGTTTCCGAGTAGGTGTCCTCTGAAATGCATGTTGTAAATATACAAAGCGTGTCACAATATGTACTCAGATAGCACTGAATTTCTGCTAGAATTCACTGCACATGCAGAGTATAAAATCTGATTCGTCCCAATATTAATATGCAGCCATTATATATTTTAAAATTTTACTACAGTTGCAGGAGCCGCATTTGCTTCATGTCGAATGACATCACGACTAAGGACCCAAACTCAAAAAAGGTCAAAGTGCAACATTTAAGAAAACAGCAAAACATTGTCGTTCAAACTGTATCCCTCACGTTATCAGGTGCTAACAATCTGTGCCTTGGTGTTCCGTATTGCTATCGAAATTCGTTAAATCCCAGTGTTCAGCACATCTGAAATATTTCTCATTTAACTACAGTAAAATAAAGATGTGTATAAATTGTGAATTAAAACGTAACCTGTCGATGTCCGTTCTAAACAATATAACATTCCAATAGACCACAGCGACGACAGACATTTATGCAAGTAAAAATTAATCTTTTATTGTAGACAGATGGATAAATATATCGAGGTGGATATGTACAATTTTTCAATGTACAGAAATCTCGTTTTTTTTATTGTTCAAATCAGGCATTGTAAAAATTGGGTGAACATGCAAGTGGCCAAGACATTATTTGGCATAACTGTACGTAATATCTGCTCCTTACAGGCACTTACATACAAAAATCAGGAGGAATGGCGATCGCCCCGTAGTGGGCGTCTGCAGCATAACTGTGAATTCGCGAGTGGATGCCGTGCCGCCGCATGTTAGAACATATGAAAGCACTAAGACTAAGTCTTCCATCTTACAAAAAAAAAACAAAAAACAAAAAACAATTAACTCATAGCAAACAAAAATATTTGAGGACAGACTAAATAGACCCCCCTACCCCCCGAAACAGCGCGTGTACAGTACAGACAGTGTTTCTTAGGCTCACGCAGCGGACCGGATGGCTTCGGAGCAACTCTAAAACAGTCAGCTGTCCTCTAGTGTTTTTGCTTTACGCTGCATCCATTTCTAAACAGTTTGCTGAAATGTATATTTTTGTGTATGCGTCATAGAATAAAACACAACCAAGAGATAATAAGTGAATGAAAAGTAAATGTAGATTATACAAACTATAAACCATAAATAAATTCTTGCGGGTATTCATTTCAGGGAATTAGGAATACGACACCTAGGGAAACAAGCAGTATTCCTTCAAAATGGTGCATTCCTAAAAACAGGCCCCCAGCTCATTATCTACATGACTCCTCACTCTCACAAATGAACCGTCGCACAAGCGTGTGAGGAACACTCTCTGATGTAGGCCTCCCTCCTTACTCTCCTCCATCTGGAAGGGATAGGGGGTGGAGCCAAGCAGCATTTGAAAAAAGGTACCTTTGAAATGTTCCAGTGTTTCTTGATCTCTCTGCATGTTACACATGAGCACCTGCAGACTGTCACATGGAACCAAATGGCGCCAGTGAGCGTGGCAGTTTCAACCATGCAGGATGGACGTGAGAAAGATGACTAACGGCTGGGGTGGGCCTGCTCTCGGCCTCATTCCATCCACCGATGTGCTGAATCCCCACCTGCCCCCTCCCCCCCCGGTCCTTCACATTTCCGGCTGTTCAGCAGAGACCACCGGCCGGGATTCCGGGGACTCGTACCGCTGGTGGAAGTTACGCTTCCTCAGTTTCTCAGGGGCCTTCCTCCACAGAACGATCTCCTGTGGACCAGAAGGGGGTAAAGGCCTTATTCCTGCCTAAAGCTTTTAAGCATCAGAGGGAATTTCCTCAGCAATCATCATTCTGCAGCAGATGGCCAAGGACATTTGCTAAAAGCACACTGGTTGACTTCAATCAAGTTAATGGCCATTTCTATTGACTGCCCATTTTCCAGGCCAAAGGCATGGCCTGTTACCTGCTGCTTGAAGTATCTCCGATCCTCCTCATCTACCAGCACCAAGTTGAGGAAGTAGCGGACAGAAAACTTCTTGTTGACGTCTCTCATAGTGGCAGTGAGGTCATACCCAGCCAGGAACAGTCGGATGGGAATAGACTCCCCTGAGACAGGAGAGTCAGTGAGTGGTACTATCGCTGTTTTCTTGACTACAATTTCCATGACATTCAAGTACTGGTGAACACAGAACTCACAATTTTTACTGGAAACCCACCTTTCACTGGTGCTCCATCCATAATCTCATACTTTGCTACAGTCTCTGTTTCAGTAGTTGTACTCGGTCCTATGGAGGAAAACTGCACTTTAGGTTTTCTAGTAATTATTTTGGTGATTTAGTAAAATTACATTTACATTTATGTGCAAGAAAGCTAAAGCTTTTTCTGAGCTTTATGCGTATTGCCCACAACATCCTTTGTAACAACTCTGGTGTTACCTTTCAAAAGGGAAACACCCGCAATGCAAGCATCCTAAGAGTAGCTGTACCCACAGAGTCTAAAGAATTCTGCAAGTTCAGACGAAGGGCACAAATACCAACCTTTAGAAATTAAATTCTCATATACCTTTATAACATTATTATAACTCAGGGCCCTTGCTCCTAAGACTTATTTTCCATGTCCATGAAAGAAGTGAATCAATCAACCAATTGTAACGTGCAGTTTTAAACCAGTAACAGAGAAGTTTATTCATAGCCAAACTGGCTGAAGTTCCAAGGAATCAATGACCCACCAATTCCAGTGATCTCCTTCTTGATCAGCTGAAGCTCCATGTGCTGGATCTTGATTCTCACCAACAAGAAGTAGATCTTGCCTACAATAACGTCTTTCAAGTGGTATCTAGGGTGGAAATAAAATTAGACATAAAAACTATAAGCAGCCATCCTACTGGTCAAAACACACATTTCAATAGTCCCTCACAATCTTAGCTTGATTGAATTATCATCAAAGGCCAGAAAACAAAAACACTTTATTAAAAAAAAAAAAAAAAAAAAAGGTGTCAGAACCACCCATGTATTCTCGGAGTCTCTTTAAAGTCTAAGTTCACCGGCTACTCAGGACCGCCAGTTTCCCTCTGCCACATGGTGGCGTACTTACTTAGACTTGTTGTACTCAAACTCTATGTGAAGACAGTCCTCAATGCCCACTTCCATCTTGATGGAGTTGTTGACGTCCGGGTACGTGGCCAGCTGATGAACGACGAGGTCATACTCCCTCACCAAGTCTGACAGCCTCCTCACTATCGTTACTTTGAGGAAGTATCTTGGGGGGGAGACAGGCATGTGAGCCAAGAAGGCTGAAACGCTGAGTAAAACAGGCGGGCAGCCCCATCCATCCACACACATCCACACCGTCTGAATCCTGGGCAAATCCAGACTGACACAGCTCATACTGCTGCACCCTAATTCCTCAGAGCACGCTCAGGACCAAGCCCTAGCAAACGAGACCCCATTGTGCTTCCAGACCTACCTGAGCCGCACATTGGCCCCCACATATGACTCATAGGGCTTCTCCACCTGCATGAACTCGAAGTCGTAGCTGCGGTTCTGCGTCAGCTCGCCAGGCAGCGCCAGCTCCTTCACCAGGTTCACAAACTCGTGCGTGTTGCTCTTGTCGCCAAAGAGCTCTGAGTGCCGTGGGAGAGGGAGCTTCATCATCATCATCATCTCATTCAAGACGCTCAGCTACCTGTGAGCCCGGCGCCTACCCCAGACTGGCTGGGAGGACTATGTTCCCATGATCGGGCTCTTGAGCAAGGCCCTAAACCCCTGCTTGCTCCTGGTACTCGCCATCCCTGCTTCCTCAAACATACATCACCTTGGATAAAAGCGTCGGCTGAATAAAATTGCAGAGCCACCCCACCTCCTTGCTATCATCTCAAAAGCCCAGAAAAAAGGACCAAAATATGACCTAAATACATCACACGGGAGCAACAGGGAGGGTCGAGCCAGATGAGGGTAAGAGCTAAAAATAAAACCTAAAGCTAAATTTTCACCTGAATAGAAAATTAGGCTCACGTTTCACATACCCAATGACTTTAAAAAATAGACAGTATCAATAATGTGATCGATGAGACCCCCTCTGCACCCTGCACCACTCTGCAGCTTTGGACATCTGACATTTTTGCACATGGTTTTGTCTTGTCCTGTCTTGTTCTGTTTTGTCTATACAATATCCTGGAAACTATAATGCACAGTCACTTTTGAAACGTCTTATGTCCTCCTGCTGTCCCTGTTTAATGTACAGAGATTTTTATAGTTTTTAATAGGTATTTAATTGGGTACAGAAATTTTTATAGCTCTCAAGGTACTTAAGTGTGTAATCTCTGCTTATATTTTTCTATATTTTATATTCTACGCACCATGGGGAGGGCTAGGTGAAACGGCATTACGATGCACGGTATACCATGGATATTGCTGTATTGACAATAAATCCCTCTTGAATCTTGAATGAGACCCACTCTGCACCCCTGGGTCTCTTTTTCAAACCCTGGCTAAGGGTCTCAGAGAAACATACTCTAGGCCTCCATCTTCATGTGACAAACACATGCTCCACTAAGCTCCTTATCCTGAAGTCGTTAGGAAAATGGAGCCTGTGACTATAAATGCCACCCTATCCCCACACCCACAGGGTTAAATTCACATCATATTCAGGAATTTAAAAGCATACCCTCCTCCCCCGACAGCCATGAGCATAAACGGCAGCAGGATGAAGACCCACCTATCTGGCCCACAAACTCGATTCGGATACCCTGGTGCTCCAGCCTCTTCCCAGTCTGCTTCACGGTGAGGTTCACCTGGAATGCAGGTCTCATGGGAGTCACAGGGTACAGTGGAGATTCATTCTGCCTAACACACACTCAGGAAATGATAGCAGGCAGCCTGCTGTAGTGATGCTCTCCTGGGGACTTTCATTATGTTATGGCACAAAGGAAAGAGGCTGTGATCATTCACAAGTGGGAATCAACTGAAGATGACTGCAAACCCTCACATACAAACCCTCATTCTGCAAACCCTTTCAGCAGAGGCATTTTTTAAAATATCATTACCACATGATATGAAAGCTACAATAAGACTTGTTACATTTAATGATATATTATTAATTTAAAGAACGTTTTGTGGCCAAAGCTCTG